AAATTAGTGCAAGTAAAAATTTAAACGGCACAGCAGTGTAAATTTGGTTCAATATCAATGTTATTAAAATAATTAAAAACATTTCAAATAATTATTAATTCATATTTAATAGCAGTGCCGCAAACTAAACGTTGAGGTGAAACAATAAAAAACATCAAAAAAGCGAAAAAAACGGTCAGAAGAACTTACATAACTAAATAAAAATTAATATCGAATAAATTTTATCGGTCCCCTGAGGTTCAATATTCATATAAAAACATAAATATATATATATATATTTATATATGCCGTAAGTATTTACTAAATTCTGAGCTATTGATTTCGTAGACAAGTTTTTCGGTATTTTTCATCTGCGATTTTTTCTTCGATTTTCCTATTTTTGATATTTTTTTTTTTGCTTTTGACAAATGTGAAAGTCACCAATTGCTTTGGGTTATATGGTGTTAGAGAATCAACAACAACCAAGCACACGGTCTGTACACGTATGTTTGTCAGTGGCAATTGATAGTTTAGGGAGCAAGCTATGAAATCCAAGTAGCCATTGGGGACTTTGGCAGTTGAATGTTTTTGCTTTTGGTTTTACTCATATGTTTTCTGTACTTTTATTTTCCTATTTTGCACAACTGTTGGCTTGTTATATATATGGATGTATGAATGTTTTAATGGCGTGCAATATTTATTTTGTTCATTTATGGTAGATGTGTTGAGGCACATACTTATGTATAGTAGCAAATAAATATATATGTACATGTGTATATACAAAGGTAAACATGTGTTATTGGTAAGTTATTGACAATGTTTTTGAACAGTTAAAACAGTTTAAAATTAATAAAAAAAATTTAAGAGTACTAATTTGAGATCGAAAAAAAATGATATAAAATTTAACTAGCTCTATGCCGGTCACTATTGTACGGAAAAAAATAATATTTATATATGTATGTATGTACGTTATCGTATGTTTAAAAACACATTTCTGTTTTGATTAGTATTTACAATTTTTTATATGCCATAAGCAGCGTTTCTTATTCATTAATGGAGTGATAATAAAAATTTAATTGCAAATTTATTATTTGCTAGTTTTATATAACACATAAATATTAGGATGGGAAAGGTTTTTAAGCTCTAATAAAAAGCAGAGTTTTGCCGGAATTTTTACCAAAAAAAAAAAAACAATTTTTTTATTAAAAAACACAAATATTATAAAACTCACTCTGAAACAAAACCACAAATTTTAAACGTAGCATCAGTTATTGTAGGTTAATTTCTCAATTTTTTATTTTTTTTGTAATAAAATTTTCCAAAGAAAAAAAATTAAATTTTAGTTTTTTCTTCCTTTCAAAAATGCGTGAGGGCCGTCACGATTTCAATGGGGCGATTTAACTAAAAACATCAATCGTGGTTCTCATCTCTCATCTCTCTCTTTGTCTGTATCTTACTCTCTCGATCGGTTCGTGTTAAAACATATACATATATACATACGTATAATCGATCTCCAAGCCAGGATTGACGACCAGGAAGGTTTTGATAAGTGTTTGATGGGATTGGCAAAGAATCATTCAGTATGAGCGGCTTCCCAATGACTTAACTCCTAATTCGGACCTGAACTGTGAGGTATTGCACCAAATTTTTGCCGAGGAGAATGACGTTTCATCAGGTCCACAGCCAAACACATAAATAGTGATTCGCCAACAGCTCCGACAGCTTGGTTAGGAGGTAGGTCCCTATGCATCCACCCTGCCTACCATCTGTTCCTGTGTACGCCGAATGGTTTGGCTCTTGAAGAATTGGACTCATGGAAGCCTGGACTAATCGATTGCCAAATAGGAACAAGGGTTTCTGGGATAGAGGCGTAATGACATTACGTTCAAACTGACAAAAAGTTTTCGAGTAAATCGGACAGTTCTAACTATGAATAAGATGAACTACATACCACTACTGATCTTTTGGTTCACGTCAATACAATAGTGTTAACAGAAGGGCATATGACAACTCCAGAGGTAGTATGAACGCTCGGCATACCGCATACAATCGTCTAGTTGAATTTACAACAGTTTGATGTGTAAACAAACATCAAATGGACGAAGTATCATATTATTATATGTAACTCTATAGTGAATTGCAAAGGGGAGACCCAACACAATTTGAAAGAGGAGCTATTACCACAAAAATTAATGCAGTAGAACCACTTATGCGGGATGGCGATGGATGGTACAAGGTATATTAAAACATGAAAAAATTCAAATATTTCTTGTTTCACCATTTTAGCTGCATATTTTTTTAATGAACCACAAAAAAGTGTCAAGAGCAACCAGCGAAGGAGTTATAGGCAGATGGTATTGACTCCTCTTGGAGAATCTGTTGCAAATTTGATGGGATTTGAAGATCTGTCAAATCCAGCAGACGTGGTGTCAGTGATGATAACAATGAACTGCAGCGCGACTTTAGCACCAGCAATACAGATTCAGAGAGAGTTCCTGAGGAGTCAAAATAATAAGAATATTCTGGAGTAGATGTGCCATCAGTAGATGATGTGTAATTTGCTGGCACTTCGCGTAGTACAAATTCGACAACAATGGTCACAGAGTACGATGAATATTTAAATTTTTATTCTCTTCCTCATCGCTTGAGATTAAAAAGAAGAACTGTGTATTGCACTTTTTTTTATTTAAACCCCGCTTTTATTGATTTCTCAATCCGTATCGTTTCGTCTGTATTGTACGAAGCGATGAAAGTGACGATGAACAATGAAGACTTAATTATCAGACAACTTAATAAAGGATTTACATTTGAGTTCTAAAAAGACATGAACGTTTTCAATATGAAAAACTATTAAAATTGTTTGGTGACGATTCCAAAAAATGTATAGGTAGGGTGCCGTAGAGCTTTTAGAATTTCTATTTGTCTTAAATACACAAACAGCGAGCTGATGTAATTGAAGACAGTTTTGAAATAAATTGATAAATTCTATTTTTCAAAAACTTCATTCGGTATGCTTTAAGTACGACTATGAATGTAAGGGTTTCTTGGGATTTCACCGCTACCGTCGCTGGTACTAAACGAGGAATCGGAATTTTTATGTGTTCCAAGTGCAAAAAAATATTAAGAAAAGCAGAACTGATCCAAAGTGATGAGTAAATTATTTAATTCATATTTTTATTTTCATTTCTCACTAATTTATTGATTTTTAAAAGCAGAGAAATGAGTATATTTACGTGTAAAAGGAATTTCTTGAATTTAATTAATTTTAACGGTCGCATTATAGTAAAATAGTTAAAATACAGTATATTTAAACAATGGCTTATAACTTATGCGTAGGAAAGGAAAACAGTTCTAGGTAGTGGATAGGGGATGTAATGCAGAGCGAGAATTGCCAAGAAAAATAGTATTTTTATAATTTTTGTATAGAATAAATGTTAACCTATCAAAAAGAGCAAATTTATTTCAAGTAATTTTCCACGGCAAAGTATGCTTGTCATAAGAGGCGACTAGATTACAAAAGTTCTCACGAAGGTCAGGATTTTATACCACCCAGATTTTTTCCGGCCAATGCCTGGTAATCCAACATCTTTTCCCAAAAACCACTTTGAGGAATATTTTTGGCGGTTACAACAACATCACATTTATTATCTACTTTATATAAACAATATGTAAAAATATTAATTTTCAATGTAAATGATGTCCCGTGCGACCAAAAACAAAAAATGGCTCACCATTTCGGCGGTTTGGATAATCACAACTCCAAAAGTATAGTGGCTTCTTTTAAACGGCAAATTAATGAAACTGCTGAGTAAAGAACTAATACAAATTTTCATGTTAGAAAAAATTATTTAAAAAAATAATATTTCTCCTGAAATTTTCAATAACTGGTATTAAAAAAAATAATAGTAATCATTTTTTTAATTTTAAACCCTGAAATATATCTAAAAAGATTGTGTTTCTAATAAATCGATATTACTAACTTAGAAAATTTCGTTGAAAATTTCAAGTTTTAATGTAGTTTATAGTTAGTTTTTTTCTTTCAACCTCAGGTAGGTATGTCTTAGAAAAATTCCGAAAATAAGTAGGTATTGTGAAATTTTTAATTAAATATAATATACCTGAATCTTTTGGCAAAATGTTTTTAAAATAATTTCTTTATATAAAGTCCAATAAATTAACAAAATTAATTAGTTTTAAAATCTTCAGCCCATGAAAAAAGTGAGATCACCAGTTACAGGATCTGATGTTAACTATAGGCTCCACACCGTAAATGAGAAGTTAAATACTTGTAATACCAGCAGAAATTATAAAAAGTAGCGATCACTTTTTTCTCTCATTCGAGAGATTTTCTATCAACTACTTGGAGAAAAAAAAACAGCTTGAGAAGAAAGATGTTTTTTAATGACTTCAGTGGAAACCATTTAACCATTTATGGCACTAATGGGAGCAAAAAAGTAGCAACCGATCGACCATTTGTCACAACAACTGCTCTATAGAAATGAAATTGCAAACGCGCGAATAAGGCATAAACACAGTCAAAGGATGTGGAAGAAAAACTGGCTTCTAAATAATGACAATTGCAGGTTATAAAAACCTAAACGACATTAAAAGAAATTAAGTGCAGTAAAGGTTACACACGTACATAAATATTTTTAGAACAATTATTTAGTACGCCATGAGCGCTAAAGAGCACAAAAAAACGAGACAACCTAAAGGAATCTATCAAATTGCTAATAAAGTGGAATCATGACTAAGCGTTTAGCAAGCGAGTTACAACCTTCTAACTTGTAAATCAAGTGACAATTATGCTATAAATACTATATATGTACACATAAGTGCATACATTTATACCGAAGCGCATATCTAGGTGTTTACGAGTACATTGCTGTCATTATAAGTCACAGTCTGTCTGTTAAATTGAAAGTCTCAAGTGTGCAGCAGCTTCTTTCAAATGTATCTAACATCATTGTATATTTGTATGCTTATATGTATGTATGTATGTATGGCTTGACAAATCTTACCGATTAAAAAGTATCTCCACATTGCAATCATATTGTTGATATTGCTTGTTGTTGCTGCTGTTGTTACTACAAATCTATTTGTTGTTGTTGTTTATATTAAATATGGCTTTTGCTCGTCTATTGGCAGTTACTAATTAATTGCAAAGCTCCAACGTCGTTTGTGCTGCTTGCTGCTACCAGCCGAAAGTTAGTATGATAAATGCAATTTTTGTTTCTTGGTGGTATTTAGTTGTTGCTGTTGTTGTTGTTGTGTAGATTTTATTGTCAGCTTATTGTGCTTGATGCCTTTGCTAATGCACACACACACACAGACTGACACGGTTTGTTGTTATTCTAATGGCTGCAGCTACACAGTTGCATAAGCTTTTCTGTTGTTGTTATTTCAGATGCGCATCATTTACATAGTTGTCAGTTGGTATTGAATGCTGATTGTAAATTTTAATATTCATTAACTTACACTTAATACGTTTATTTTATTTTTTATTTTTTTGTTGGTTTGTTTATTTCTATTATTGTTGTTGGTTTTGTTTATTTACTCAATTGAAACTAAATTTACAACTAATGTTGTAAAACTGATTTTACATGCGTAATTGCAATGCATGCTGGTGTTTTCGTAACTTTGCACAATTTTCTAACTTTCTACTACTCTTTTACAATTCACTCATTTTCTACTACTTTTTCCAATTTCTACTCCTTTTTTGTTTTCCCACTATTTTCTCATGTTTACTGTATTTTGAGGCATTTTTATTAAATTCTGCATTTTTTACTATATTTCTACACTATTAAGCACTATTTTTCTTTGTTGTTAGTTAGATACAATATAAAAAGTTTGTGCAGCGTGTTGTGCACAACTTTTTGTTGGATTTTAAATTGTATTTTTCATTTTCAAATATATTTGCATCTTAACAATAATAACTGTTTACTAATTATCTTTTTTAGCAAAAGTGTTGTTGTATTTTTAAGGTGAGTACAAGCACTATTTTAGTTTTTTAGTAGTCATTTTGTTTTGTTTTGAGGAATTATCGGACTGTAAAGAAAAAGAAGGATATTAACATACTTATGTTTATAAGGGTAAGGTTTCAGTGTTGCTTGTCGATTTTATTTTATTTCAGTAGTATTTTTTGTCAAGATATTTTTGCTGCTCGTTTTTCTGGTTTATTTTGTAGCATTGGGGAGGGTGAAAATTTTTTGCTGGCGAAAGATTTATTTATTTTCAGTTGTTGTTGTTGGGTTTATTGTAAGAGTTTAATGAAAAACTGGTTTCCTTTTCCTTTTTTAACTATAAATTATTTTTAGTTTCTCCGCTTTTTAATTTTATACACTTAAAATCTTTATATTTTATAATTGTTATTTTATTTGTTTATATATTTACATATATGTTATATATTTTATTAATTAATTTTTTTAATTATTATTAATTTTTTGATTATTATCATATATTATTCATTTTTATTTTTTAATTGTTTTTAATTTTAATTTTTTTATTTTTAATTTTTTTTTTAATTTTTTTTTAATTTTTTTTTTAATTTTTTTTTTTTTTATTTTTTTTTTTTTTTTTTTTTAATTTGTATTTATATATATATATATTTTTCAATTATTTTTATTATATTCATTTTTTATTCAGTTTTTCTTATATCTTATTTCTTTTTCTTTTTTATTTATTTTTCGATATTTTCTAATATTTATTTATATTTTATTTTATTTGTTTAGTTCCTCTTTAGTTTTTTATTTACTTATTTTTTGTATTTTCTCCTGTTTCGTAAACCCTTGCACAAAATGGCTTCTTCGTGTTGGCCCTTATGGCAGGCTTATTTCTTTTTTCCGAACCAGTTTTTTACCACAAACTATGTAGAAATGTATGTAGGTACATATACATACATATGTACTTATATGTTTATAGAAGCAACTTCAGTTTCGTGCCTTCCATGTCCACTATGGAGACAAGCTGGGACTACTGTTAGCGCACACATGTACCCATGTTAGCACCACTGTTAACTGGTTTTCTTCAGTTGACTTGTTGAAATTGTTGTGTTTGTTGTTTTTCTTGCGCCTTTAGGTTATTCTCTATATATATATATATATATATACATACATATATATTCTGCACTGCAATGCGCCACAATACAATGACTTTAATCAGTCGAAGAAATCAAGCAGTCCAACTCAAGTCGAATATGCCAACATATACATAAATATGTACATATGTAGGTAGATATGAACATGGCATAGAATGCTAAGAAAAGGGACGCAAAGGAAGTTAAGGTATTCATGCAACGTACAAAGACAATAGAGGGTCGCCTGAGCTCAGGTAGCAAGCAAGAGCCAAACAAGCGTAGCTTAACTCAGAGCCCGTCCATGTCGTCATGACAAATGCATATACATACATACATATGTATGTATGACAAGTCAGTAAAGGTAAGTAAACGTAAAATCCGTTGAGTTGTTTGAAAGGCTTCCAAGAAGTAGGTAGATGATGTTCGTAGTAAGCGACTTGAGTGTGAAACGGACTCGCTGGGTTATTTGTAAAACATATGCACATCCATAAGTACTAAATATATACAGATACAAGAGCTGCTGACGCTGCTTGAACGTGTCTCTTTTAATTTTTTATTTTTTTTTTTTTGCTTTATTTTCTTAACCAATTCCGTTTTATAGCCATATTTCAAGAGAAACGTTTTAACCAAACATCAAACAAGCTCACGTACATACCGAAAGATGCATACTTATCAAACATACAGACATGCCAACAGTGTTGATATTGATGCGAGCGCTGATGATGATAATGATGATGATATTGGAAGAGCATTTGGAAAGAGTTAAGGTAAGAAGAGGTTTGGTGGAATGGGAGGCGAACGGGTTGGAGACTATGATCGCTGACTGGTTTACTGCTGGTGACGACGTCTCACAATCGTGACGCAGCAACGTAAAGAAGCAAAGTTGGCATGTACAATACATTTGTATGTATACATGTATGTTTGTATATTTGTGCAAGACAAACAGCATAACACTACGCGGGCGGACAGTCGGGCAAGACGTTACGTGTTGAAAACAGGTTTGACAGGTAGATAGAGCGAGCAAAGCAAAAGTAGAAAAATAAAATGCCAGCTAAGCCAATGCTGGTATTTATATACATACACCGTATCTCTGATTGTACATACATATGTATGTATGCATACGCTACCAAAGACGCTCTTGGCTGCTGGAGCACATAAAAATAACGCGCTCGCAGCTCGCTTTGGAGCGCGTATAACATTCAGGTGAGTGAGCCAGCGAGTGAGCGCGTACACTGACATTAATCAACTATGCATATCTACTAGATGTGCTGGAAAAGATGTAGTCATGTGGAAATGGATACTTGATAAATGTGGGGTTGGTCGAGATCCCGAAAGTGGACGCTGAGATATTAACACTGTGAGGCACAAAGGACTCTAAAGCCAAAGAATGGCGTGATTCTAAGATATTTCGTTTAACCAGGTAGGGTTAGACCGGTTAAGGCCCCCTGCGGGTTAGGGCTTCAAGAATTTACCCCCGGTAAGGCAGGACTGTGTAAGAGGCGACTAAAATCCAATACTAGTGGGAGCGACCAGGATTTTTATCCGACCAACGTTACTCAAAAAGTTCTTTGGGGAATATTTTTGCGGTTACAAGAACAACAGGCTGGTTAAGGAAGAGTCACTAATCGACATGGATTTATTTTCAGAGATTGATAGCTTTAATGTTTCCTACTCTACCGCGTCCTGATCAGAGTCCATTATCTATACATATATATAATTGGCGCTTTGTAACCACTGAAGCGATTTTCGGCCGAGTTCCTCCTCCAATTTGTGGTTTCCCAACAAATGGAGACACCTACAGTTTATACTAAGCGGCCTCCGAACGGCTGATGGTATTTTTACGAGGAGCCTTCTTTTCATGTCAGAAATGCACGCGGAGACGTTTACATTCCCTGGCCAAGAGGCGAACACGGTTAGAAAATTTAACTAATTTTTTTTTCAATTAATTTTCTATAATTTTTGTAAGTTGGTCGTACAGGGATTTGAACGCTGGGCTTCCGAATGGCAGTATGCAATGCTAACCACTCGGCTACAGCGCCCGATACAATCTCTAAAAGAGGCTCTTTGTTGTGCCACAACTACACTTTTTCATAGTTTCAACGAATGTAAACAGGATTTCTGATAGGTTACAACAGCAAAATGCGCGAGATATATATATGTATGTATATATGTATGTAAACCCCTGAGATCTCTCCAAACTGGCTATTACTTGTGAGCTATTAGCTATCCAATCGCGCATATTGTCTTGATACACAACACAGGGAGGATGAGTGTTTGAGACGCAGACTATACATAAGTAGCACAACACTGCATTGGATGCTGCCTAGACGTTTATGCCTACATACACGTAGACGCTGCGGGTTGACTGAAATGCATTCACTTTACACATTTATGTATCTATGCATCTGTTGTTGTTTTTGTTGTTTATTACTTTGATTTTTTGGGTTTCCTTTTTATTTTCGTTTTTACCTGCACTTCAAATCCACTTACAAACGCACACACACATACACACTTGCGATCGCTATTGCCCAAGCGCTATAAGGGAATTTGTTGGTATAAAATAAGGAAAAGTGGAATATCATAAGGTTTGAATCACTCATTCACTTGGAAGGTATATATGTACATATATATGCATGCATGTAAATATTTATATTAATGTATATGTATATGATGTATGTACATATGTATTTTTCTTCGTGAACATTTCATATTTTCTTCCATATAAAATCAGCCAATTCAAAGGTGTTGTTGGCTGTCTTTGTGGCAATTCTTTTATTTACTTATACGTTTCTCAAATTTGCACATTACTTCCAACAACTACAACACCGTTCACCGTTTTCTTGTCATTACAATTCGTTTTGTACAAACAATTTCAAGCATATTTTCATTCCTTTTTATTTTTTTTTTATTATTTACTACTTTATTCCCTATTTTGCTTTCTTCACATAAGACGAAATTTGCATGCTTCTTACATACATATTTTATTCAGGAGAATTCATCGAGTAAATAAATCATCGATACATGATACACACAGTAGTGTGCAATTTATATATTTGGAATTTTTGCAAACACAAAAGGTAGCAACAATCACTACGTTTTTCTTACTTTTCGCGGAGAAGAGTGTATTGTTGTTTTTTTTTTCTTCTTGCTTTTGCGGTCGGCTGCTGCTACTTTTCGTGCAGGCCGCTATACACACAGCTGCTATGCTAAATTTGCTTGCTTGCTGTTTTCCGTACACACCGTTCACAAGAAAGGCCACAAAATGCACGCAGCAAATTTACCGTAAATTATATCCGTCACTCTTGAGAACACAAATAATACTAAAGTATTCTCTGCTATACGCAAATGCAACAATACGCGCTGCCCCTCTTGTTTTCCAACTTCTGCTTTGCACTCGTTCGTTGAGAGTGGCGCGTTTGGCGAGCGGCGCTCACGATAAACATTTTCCCATTCGCTTTGGTTTCGGTTAATTTATTTACATAAGACGAGATTTCTCACACTCGTGGGTTTAGCTGCAGAAGTATGTTGTGCAGACTGCGTTTAAGCAGTGTTGTTGTGTTCTTCTGTAAATACAAAGTGGTAATTTTGCTATTGTTTACTTTTCTCAAATAAGCAATAGTTCTCAGCAACATTTTGAAGCAGCGCGCGCTCTCTCTCTCTCTCTCTCTCTCTCTTTCTCTCTCTCTCTCTCTCTCTCTCTCTCTCTCTCTCTCTTTCTCTGTTAGTGTTTCTCTAAATATATCGGGTAGGTTGGAGCGCTTATACAATGTTTAGTAGCGGCCTACTCTTCCATGTTGACAAACAATGTTGCTAATTATACTTAGAGAGGATGCTGCACACCATGCGGAAAGAGGAAAAATATGGTAGAAATTATGTGTCTAGGTTAGGACCACTTATTGCCGAGGTTATATGTACACGGGCTAGGGAGAAAGCGAAGGAATGAGGAGTAAATATCGCAAATTTTTGGTCACAGAAATTGAGCTGCAAAAAAATATGCTTGAGACAACTCCAATCTAATGGTTTTTGGCTAAGAACTGTCGCTCTTGAAATAAATAACTAAATAATTTTTTTTTTATTACAAAACAAAAAAAATAGTAAATCCCATCCTTACCTTTCAATCCAAGAAAATCAGAAATATTCACAGCGATCCCTTTTTGTGAAGTTATCGCTATTACCGGCTGAATGCGCGTACATTAAAAACTAGACCGAAGACATGACATAAATATTTCCTGTATATCTCCTAACTGTAGATCCCTCCATTAGTCAAATTAGTGAAGGGACTTGGCCGAAAAAAGCTTCAGAGGTTATAGAGACTGCGATTTCGAGTACCACTGCGGGTTAGGTGTTAATGAATTTCCCCGCGGAAGGAATGTAAATTTTAGAATCAAAATCCTTGTTTCCCCAGAGCCACTCTACGTATTTGAAATTAGGATAACTAAGACAAAGTGTGGTATATCCATGAAAACATGAAAACATTATATATATTTTAAAGGATATGGCATATCGGCGGCAAACGAAGTTTATCTACGTCTCCCCCCTTTGCTTCAGAAACATACCAAAGACAACCCAATAGTCACTGAAACCCGCTTAGCCGAGAACAAAAATAATTTTGGCGACAAACTGCTCTATCTACGGCTTTCGTGACTATAACGACTCGGAAGTTCTCTTCGTAATCCCTTGCTTCAGTGACGCGTTGTACTTCAGGAAAAGATAAATAATTCGTAACAAGAGACCTAAAGGGACTTATGATAATTAGACTATGAATCAATATAAGCGAAAACATATATAAAGGGGATCCCTGTAAACTTCAGAAATATAGACGGTTCTGCATTTGCTCTTCGCCATGGGCGGACGGTTTTTTGTTAGGAAACTCATTTCCTATTATTTTGTTGAAAATCAAAATGCAGACCATTCTTACAAACTTCCTTTAGGGAATCCGCCCAGTCATACCAGACATCTTACGATAATATTTTAAAAACACTTTTATTCGTTCGTCTAGCTGATAAAGATTGCGATTGAATATCCCAAGACATTTAAACATTCTTGCAGCCGTCATCACTGCGCAATATGGTATTGTTTTGAAGCCACAAATGGTTGCACAACATTTCTATGCTGAGAGCCGGGCGACGACAGAGAACTTGAAAATCTTGCACACCTTTTCCCGCTCAGGTAATCGTACGTTGCAACTGGAAATTTTTCTCTTAACATAATTGTCTAGATTTTGCAATTTCCCATTGCCTCAAGAGCATGATTTTCCACTACTCATTTTCTGCGTTAAATCTCTGGAAGTTCCTCGTATATTTTACAGAGCTCATATTTTTCTTATTTGCTTCTATATTTTGTTATTTTGCTTTTATTGTGTCATGTTGCATGAACTATTATTATTGGCGATTTCAGCGAACCGGTTGCACTGGTTTTCTAGTTGCGCTGATGTTGCAATTTATGTGCGGTTTCTAAAAAGTAATTGCACTTTTGCATTTGCATGTGTGTGTTTGTTTTGTGTTTCTTTCAATTGTTTTTGTTAGATAAGAAAATGGTAAGGCAAACTAGAGGTCAGCGTAGTTCATGGAAGGTGAAAGATGGAAAATGAACTGAAGTGATTGATTTAATAAGGAATAAACTGAATTGACGTATAAAAATTACAGCAAAAGCAAATAATAAAATAATGATAAAATTTTAAAATAAAATAAAATTGAACAAAATAAAATGGAATAAAAATATTAAATTAAATGAAGTAAATTAAATTAAGATAAATTAAATAAAATAAAATTAAATTGAATCAAAGAAATAAATTGAATTAAAAAACTGAAATAAAATAAAATTCAATCAAAGTTATTTAAGATAAATTTAAGTAAATAAAGAGGGAAAATAAATAACTAGACTAAGATAAAAAAATAAATTTCGGTGATTCACTCATGGCATATGGAAGTGCTGCATTCGTATAAATTCAATCCCAAGAAAATAATTTTTCCAGAGAAAATTATGCAATATTGGAGAACAAGAATAAAATTGTCGCGACCTGGAACTGCTGAGTACACTAGTAATATTAACATCAGTAATCTTCCAAGGTGATTTGGTGAGGCACTCTGATCCATAAACAGCATGAATCCCCTCATTAATATTCTACGCGATACTGGATATTATTGTAGGGTGAAATACGGCCAGACTGGAAGGTGCCGATTGAACCATATATTTTATGTGAACGATCTGCAGCTTTATGCCGCCAAGCCAAACTATCTAGAAATGGAATGTGACAAAACTTTCCCTAATGACATTAAAATGCCTGTTGGTCCTGAGAAATTCCGTAAAATCACTACCCAAAAAGGAAGGGTGATCCCCAGGAACAATCCTATTGAACCTGGTACTTTACCGTAAAGCAAATGGAACCGAATGGGGTATAAAAACATCTTGTTATAATGCAAAATAATTGTTTAGATATCATACTATATAGAGATGCGGGAAAAATTGGGGGCGGGATTTAGAAGACGTCTTACTGCTTTATGCAAAACTCATTTACTTGAAAGAAAGTAAATATTTGTCATTAATTCTTTTGTTATATCTCTAGTATCGTATAGTTTCGGAATCATATAACTCATTTAATTTCAGAGATTAACTGAAATGGTAGTCCAGGGTGTAAAGCAGAGAGATTTGTTGAGCTCGTACTCGAAAACGCCAAAGGAAGTTGAAGAAAGTGCATATTAATCTTAAGGAAAATATAGGAAAACTCCAGTTTTCAGATCACATCATCTTCGATGGAAAGCATCCTTACTAAATCCATGCCAAATTATTAGAAACCTTTTAGAGTAAAGGTTATATAATTGGCGCTTTGTAACCGCTGAAGCGATTTTCCGCCGAGCTCCTCCTCCAATATGTGGTTTTGCGTCTAGATGTTTTTCCAACAAATGGAGGGGCCTACTGTTGCTACTAAGCCGCCTCCGAACGGCTGATGGTATTTTTATGAGGAACTTTATTTCAAGTCGGAGGGCTTGACATTCCCTGCCGGGAGGCGACAGTAATTAGAAAATTTAACTTAATTTTTTATTTAAATTAATTTTCTTTGACTTTTGGATGTTGTTCGCACGGAGATTTGACGTTAATTTAAACAAATTTAAATTAGATAATCTTAAATATATATTATTATTATTATATTAGTTGAAATATATGTACATATATTATTGGCTAGCTACTCAGCTGTCGCCAAAAAAATGAAATATACTCCCTAACGGGATGCAAAGAGGGAAATGTAATTAAATTAATTGATATATATATACATAAGGTAAATTAAAATAAAAATATAAAAAAAAAATAAAAAATTAAATAAAATAAGAAATATTTATAATAAAATTGAATACAATTAAATAAAAACAAACTCATATTTAATATAATAAAATATATAAGATACATTTCGTTTATTTGTATAATAAAACAGCCCGAAATTAATTATATATTTTAACAATTTTCTTGTGTTTAAAAAAATCTTGCTTTCCTTCGCAAGCAGAATAAATGTAAGGCGAGGAAATAAATTGGAATCAACAAGTTTCTGTCTCTCTTATTGTTGCTTGCATATAACTTTACGCAAGCAAGCTGCAAAACAACAACCATTAACGGTATACTAGAAACTTGTTGATAGACTCATGTAGCTAGTGAATAATTTTCTCGGCGTCACCCTGTGTTAGAGCACCGCGCTGAAAGTATGAAAATGTACTCTCTGACTACCAAAAAAAAAATCTCATCAGCTAACTGTTCCCAGTGTAAATGAGCGAACATCAAACTACTCTGAATAGCGAACATGCTCGATGGAGCTTCTACGCCACCAAACTAGTTTGAGAGCTCCAGCAATTTGTTGGGTTTGTTTGTTGTCCCCAATATTAAAACTGGCATACTCATACACCGACTAACAGTCATATTTAGCTTTTGGTTGGGGAAATTTTGAGCTGGGGTAGAGCCAAGCCGGTTTTAAAGACCACAGTCGTAGCTGTAGAGAGCCGGACAGAGAACTTATAACAACTCTGATTGCTTTTTTTTTTTCTGGGGGGAGCGCCTGATTTCAGCTCGGTAGCTGCATGTACTATATGTATTATATGTGTATATGTACAAATGTATATTGTTGGCTAAGATCGCTAGCAGTTTCATTTCTTGCCAATCGAAACATAAAATTACTTTAAACTCGTTCGTTTGGCTACAAAGCAAATGTTTCTTTTTTTCATTTCTTGATTATTTTACTTGTAGTTGTTGTTGTCATTTTATTGCCAAGCTGCGCTGTACTGAGCCGTCTGTTGTATGTGACTTGGCTTGAGCTTCATGTTTATTCTTTGA